TTTTTTTTTTTTTTTTTTTTTTTTTATTGAAATTTACATAATGCAAGAAGGAGACGATGACAATCATAAGAAGATAACATTGGTGATTGATATTTATAAAATTTGAATAAAATTTTGTACTATTTTTTTTGTTTTATGCTATTTCTTTTAACTAGAACTGAAAATTTTTTCCATATAAAGATTTATAAATTGTAAAAAAAGATATCAATAATCGTTTACTGTTTCGAAGAACTTATAAATATATATAAGAAAATTTTTTTAAAATGTGGGATAAATTTTTTTAAAAATGGGGTAAATTTTTTTTGTAAAAAGAGTAATGAAAATGAAAAAGGAAAAAATTTTTAGATTAATCTATTGAACAAGTATTTAAATTTTCATTAAAATCAGCGTGTATCAATCATCGATGTTCCTTTGTAAATATTATCCTATGAACATATTATTATACTTAGATATTAAAATAAGTGATATAAAAAAAAAGGAATATTTCTCAAAGATTGATTTTATAATTTAAAAAGTTGTAGATATATTTTTACAATTTACGTAGAGTAGAGAGTGAAGATTAATTTCATTTCTTTAATCGTTTGTTATTAATAATAACTGCTTATCGTATTCAATTAAGTATGGTTGTAACATTTCATGATTATTAAGAAATTGTTTCAAAACTTACATTTTTCCTTTAACTCTTATAATATTTTTATAATATCTCAAATGTCTTGTTTCATTGTCAGAGAGTGAAGAGAAAAGTATGTGAAAGCCTCTGGAGAATTTTTCTAAAATTAATTATTTAGAAGTTTTATAAAAATAAAAAATATTTTATATATACATATATATTATAATATATTTCGTTACTTTTATCCTATTTTTAAAAGAAAGATTGAAATTTTATTTCTTGCATCCAAACTGAGTGAAAACGAACAAAATTGAATTAAGAAGCTTTTTGAATCTAATTGAAGCCTCCGTCATGTTCTCACATTTAAATCACATTAAAATTCTCATTAAATCAATTCTAATTTCAAACTTTAATTATCAAAAATTTAATTCCTTTGTATTGCTATTACTTTATTATTGCCATTAAATAATAAGCAACCAAATTACTACAAATTATCATTTTTCGAAAAGAATATTTCATCTTCATTCGACAGTTTCATCCGACCATCTTTTGTAACATTTTGTACAAAAAGATGCACGTAATTTCGTGATTCGTCGCAGATTGAAAAGAAGATAGGAAAGGACAGGGGACCGGATGTCATACTTTGAAATACATTTTAAGGACATAAGTTGAATTCGAAGAAGAACTTCCAAATATGGGATTCATTTTCAATGCTTCCATTGACCCGGTGATCCCTTTGTGCGAATTTTCGTATTTCGCGTGTGTTATAAATTCAGCCGTGTAACGAATCTCTGGAGCCTTGGTCGCGGTACGCGAACCGAATATATAAAGTTAATCTATCTTCACCCGTGGCAAGGGGATCGCTGCCAAAATTCCTTTTCTGCAGGAAGTATGCACCATTTGTTTGACCATTCTTATGCACTCCCTGCAATATTAACGTGTACTATTTTTTAGCGTACATATATTGAATTTTTCATTTAGGATTAGGAGAAAATGAATAAATACAATAGAATTATTCGAAATATTTGGTTAATAATTGGTTAGATTTAACTACTAAAATTAGATTAAATAATTTTTAAGTACAGAAATTTATTGGATAAAAGAGAGATATATTTTAAAAATTGTAAAAAACAAATTCACCATTTTTTTAAAATGAATTAGAATGTGAATATTTTCAGATATGATTTCGTGTGATAATCTATTTATTGTATAATCTATTTTAGAAATATATTTTTATATCTCCTGAAATGATGCAGAATTTTGTTTTATTTGAAATAGTAGTTACATAAAGAAATAATATTTCAAATGTATTATTTAATATCAATTCATGTCACAAATATTACTTTGTGTTTCATTGATATATAAAAAAATAATATTCCAAATAATAATACTTCAAACAATAATAATTTTTAATTTAATTATTAATATAATATATTGGACTTATTATTTTAATATGATATATAAAACATTCAATTTATTTTCAATGTCAAGAAATAAACATAGTCATGAATATAATTATTTTTATATTTGTTATATTTTGATTAATCGAAAAATAAATATTATTTATGTTGAATCTAAATATAAATAATAAATTTGTCAGTATTTGTCAGTGATTTAAACATTAAATGAAATAATATCTTGTAGTATTTATTTAATGTACATTTATCAATTTTACATTTCATAATTAACAGATAAAATTATAGAATTTTCTTAACAAATTTTTATCTTTATTTTTGTTTATTGTATTATGTTTTATATTATATTAAAAAGAATAATAAGTTCATCTTTCAAGAAATTATGAAATTTTTTGGAATAATTTTGGAAAATATTAAACGAAAAATTATCAGACTTTTAGTCAGTTGATTTACATTTAAATATCATATATATAAAACATTACATTAAATATCATAATATATAAAAATCACATAAAAATCATAAATATATTAAAGCTAATAGAAATTGTTAAAATGCTAATTAATTTTAAAAACTTATTTATTTTGTTATACATTTTATATTTTAAATTTTTTATTCTATAAATAAATTTTCACCTTATAAAAAATGATAGATAATTTTTACACATTTATTATTATATCCTATAACTTGTATCGTTTTCAACTTATACGTGAAAATGACAAGTTCACTTAAAACTGACTTGATAGAGAATGTGTTAATCTGTTTAATTGCTGTAAAATCGAATACAATGTTGTGTCTTTTAGCCTGTCATCAATTCAAATCAGAGCATCATTTTTCTTCATCTAATTTATCCATTCATAGTTAACCATAGTTAAGCGTAAATTTTCCTAATTCATGTTTAAAACTATAAATCAAAGTGATAATCATTGAATAAAGATTTTTAATTCCTAGTATTATGAAATATGTATAATATATTATATTAATTTTGTATTAATATTTTTGTATTATATTAATTTTATATTAATATTTAATTATTTTATTTTATTCAATTTGTTTTTATTTAATTATTTATATTAAATAATTATTATTTCAATACTTATTTTTTTTTCAAAATGTTAAATACTTGTATTTACTTTATGTGGAAACATTATTATATTTAATCACATATAATTATATTATAATCATATTAATGATTTAAAATAAATATTTCAAATATTTAATATAATTATATTTATAATATAAAAGATGTATTAAGCAATTTACAATTAATTATTAAAATATTATTTATTAATGTTAGTTTTATCAAAATGTTAAAATTTCATTAATTAATATTAAATAATTTTTTTAAATTGTGTTTTAATAATAAAATAATTTTTGCTATCTACTTAATCTTTAGATTCTTAACTATATGTAGAAACTGGTAATATAATAAGACAGAATAGCAGAATAATGAGAGAATAATATAGAGAGTGATATATGAGGGTAATATAACTTTAATTTATCTATAATTTAATAGTTTTTTAAATTCAGATTTTTATCCTATTTTTATACAATTTCAGTATCTCTTAATTGTTGCGCAATTCTCCAATAAAACTTCATTTCAGTTACACGCATCAAAATATGTCGTCTCAAAAGATATCTTAAATATCAGAATTTAAACGATCGAAATTAAACATTTTAACATTGAGAATTCATGTTTGTCTACGAATCTCTTATAATCTCAATTCGCAAGTTCGAACGAACTTTCCAAGGTTTTCAAGACATTCTATTACCTAACTCTTCCAGAATACATTTTTTTAAGAATAAAAGAATTCTTCTAAAAAAAAAAGCTCTTTTTTTATCAATCATTAATGAAAACATTGTTTCTTTTGCAAAGAAAATAAAAGAAATGTTCAATAAAAGACTAATTATATTTGATGTGCAAATAAATTTAAGAATAAAACTCGCGAGTGTTGTTCTCGGAGGGGTATTTTTCATAAGTGGACTTAGCCCGAGGATAACTTTCACTCTCAACACAATGTTCATTATAGAAAAAAATAACTGTCCAGGGCAACTCTTGAGAGTTTTACTCCAAAAATATTTTAACAAATAACTAATGAATGACCGACTATTATTAGTTAGACTCGCAATTAAAATTAATCATTTAATAATCAACACACACGTCGTGCGTGCGGAGTATTGAGAATGAAAGGGTTAACGAACAATTGTCCAAATATCAATTCACTCGTAACTATTTGAAAAAGAAAGACATGGAATTGTTTGCTCATCAAATTTCGCCGTTAAACGGCGAAACTTCCATTTCTTTTTCGTGTTACGCCTACGTCTCCCCCCTGTACAAATGCATGTGTCGTCTGTATGGTTCTGTAATTTGGCAATAAATCTTCCTTCTTGACCCGGGAAAAAAAGGAGTGGAGAGAGTCAAAGGATCACGTGCAACAGATGTAAGCGAGCGCCATGATGTCCTTTATAACCCACGGCTATCGGATTTCTTTTTCTAAGGTTACGCGAAAACGAACGTCCAAGAAACCGGTAAACGCGGTATTTTGACGAATCGAATTTGGTAATAGGTCATCCTCTCATACTGTGTTTCGTCATTTCGTCGAATTTTAAAATTTGATGCTCTCATCATGATTTGATGATAATTTCGATAGATCTCTTTTTTTTTGCGCACGTGAGATGTGAATTCATGTGTATTTGTGATTATAATCTATTATTTTTTCTTTTTTATTTTTTGTGTGTATAAGAATTTAATTATGAATATA